CTGCTACTACTATAACCGCTCCTCTTATGCTTCTTATCCTTCTTATGCTTTTTATCCTTCTTCTTCTTTTTCTTGTCGTGGTCGTGATACTATAAACCAACGCATACACAACAAACATCACAAGAACATTATCCTACCATAGGAGCACCGACTGGCTGATTCCCGTACATCTGCTGCTGGTACTGCTGACCACCATATGGTCCTGCTGCCATAGGAACTGCTCCGCCCGCAGTATAGCCCTGTTGGGCCTGATACCCATAGGGCGCGGGTTGTTGATAAGGTGGAGGGGCGGGCGCCTAACAATAAAAGATGTCATACCATCCATCGCACGAATAGCGGCATCCGACGGATAGCTTAGTTCATGACTACATACTATTACACAACTGATTCTAATATCTGGGGAAGTATTCGGAGGAGATAAAGTGTCCAAATTGATGGAATATATCATCTGATTCATACCACACCATTATCAACGCTTAGCGACCACTTATATAAGCCTTAATAATAGTACACACATGCACACAGATTAATCTCGACCACTCACCCCATATCCTCCTCCATACGGTGCTGGTGGGGCTCCAGGAGCGATCATAGTACCCGGAACCTATGACCAGCACATCAGAAGCTCACAACAACACACCGTGTCTTACCGGCTGCTGTTGCATCATCATGGGTGGAGGCGGAGGAGCGGTACCCATAACCGTCGCTGTCACTACTGGAGGAGCACCACCCTAAGATGAACGATTATACGCGAACCGGTTTGGTCGGTAGTTACCATCATCGGTGGCGATACTTCAGGCAGCATAGTAATCGATACTGTAAGTGATCCTGCTGGTTTACTCTTACTGCGGTACCTGTGGTGGAACTGCTGACCCGAAAGTTGGAGAGGGAGCGGTAGGCTACACCCGTGACCAGTGTTGCAATATATGTTCGTTTCACTCGGTTGACCCTGAGATTTTCCTATACGAATTCTCGTACAGAAACCAACAAAAATTCCCTCAGGATTTCCACAATTGTCACCAACACGTGTTACCACACTTCCCCCAACTTACAATGCGAGATCCCCAGACCATCGACCACTGAAGCGACGGCCGCCATACT